GGGGGGGGGGGTATCCAGAGCAGAGCAGTGACTGCGGGCTGCTCCCAACAGGTGGCTTGGAAGCGCTAATGATCCGACTGGTGAATGGCTCGGGCCCACACGAGGGCCGGGTGGAGGTGTACCATGACCGGCGCTGGGGCACCGTGTGCGATGATGGCTGGGACAAGAAGGATGGGGACGTGGTGTGCCGCATGCTGGGCTTTCGTGGCGCAGAGGAGGTGTCCCGGACTGCTCGATTCGGGCAAGGTAAGGTACACCGGAGGAAAAATACACAGGGAAAAGTCCCAGGAGTCCTAGGAGTGGTCTCCTCTCCAAAGCTCAAGTCCCCTCTGCAGCAATCCTGCCATGTGTCACCTGGCCTCTGCCCAGATACTCCCTGCAACCAGGAGCTCACTGTTCCCCAGGCAAGCCGGGCCTGTCTTTGGACAATTCTGACCGTGCTGAATGACTACAGCGACTTGTGGTATGGCATGAGAGGGGGGCCACATGTCCTGTCCAGATAGGGAAATGGAGCCAGGCCACATCCAGACTGGTCACTGCTCACAGCTGCCTTTCTCCCCATCCCAACTATGGGCTGCTGCAGTTCTTGCTCAGAATCTTGTCCCTTAGATCTCAGTCACTGCTATGGACTGAATATTTGTATCTCCCCCAAATTCATGTGCTGAAATCTTCTTTTTTTTTTTTCTTTTTCTTTTTTTAAATATATCTTTATTGATTTCAGAGAGAGGAAAGGAGAGGGGGAGAGAGCAACAGAAACATCAATGATGAGAGAGTCACTGATCAAGCCCACAACCGGGCATGTGCCCTGACTGGGAATCGAACCCTGATCGCCTGGATCCCAGGTCGACGCTCAACCACTGAGCCACGCCCGGCCAGGCCATGTGCTGAAATCTTCAACGTGGCGCTAGGAGAGGAGGAAGTGATCAGGTCACCAGTGGAGCCTTGTGACGGGATTAGTGCCCTCATAAGAGGGACCCCTATGAGCTCCCTTATCACCCTTCTGTGAGGAGACAGAGAAGTCTAAACCTGAAAGGTGGCCCTCACCTGACCGTGCTGGCACCCTGGTCTCAGACTTCCAGCATCTGGAACCATGAGAAATAAATGCTTATTGTTTGTAAGCCACCCAGTCTGTGGTGCTTTGTTACAGCAGCCCAGGCAGACCAAGACAATCGCATTGACCAAAAGTGACTCTTGGTGAAATCTGTTGTGACAGCTGGCGGAGAGTGGCCACTTGACCCCACACATACTGGCCTCTCTACTTCAAAGGCCAGAGTGCACAAAGGGCTCAAAGGGCCCAGCTCCAGGAGGGCAGCCCACCGGGGCAGAGCACTTGCCTTCCACTTAACATCTTGGACTGGATTTCAGCCTATTTTCTTCAAGAAAAACCTCCATTTCTGTTTGCATGAGGAACAGAAACGGTGGGAACAGTCCTCACTTTCAGTGTTTGAATCCAATGAAGACTTCTTCCTAATAAGTGGAAGTAAAAACTTTTTTGGTGGGCAGGGGGGGGGAGCGGAATCATGAACTCTTTTAAAGAAGCCAAAATGGGCCCTTTCAATGTCATGGGCAGTGTTAGCCTAAAACTGAGACTTTGTGGCCTTTTTCATTTCCCCTTGATTTTTATATTGTATGACAGGTGGAGAAGTTCTAAAATTGCAACTTGATTCTGTAAACCAGTCAGTGGGAAGCTGGACTTGCTTCCATGTCACATCAAATTTGCACCACGTTTTCGCCCATCATGATCCTCTATTCACATTTGGACTGTTAACCTGGGGCCTGTTCAGTACTTTATTTGTTTTGGGTGTGACGAATCCCACATTGCTCTTGGGCCTGCAGCCTTTTCCTGGGTAATTTGTAAACTGATGTGTTTTCCAGGAGACATTTAATCTGCAAGTTGTTGCTCGGCCTAAAGGGTTTATTGTGTAAGAGGCACAGGGTATCTGGCCAGGGAAGAGGTTCTGCTGAAGAAACAGCATCTGAGAGGACAGCGGAAGGAGGCCTCTCCTCCCACCTCTCCCCAGTTCACTGCTCGGCAGTCCTGTGACAACAGATACTGCAGATCTCTGCATAACAGAAATATTAGCTCATGAGATTGATTTAGGGTTCCCCCCATGCAGTTTGAGAGTGACAGTTCTAAGGTTTTAACTGTCAGTGCTGACAATTCCTCTAAGAGGTGAGGTTGTCTGGCTGCTGAGAGAGGGGAGGAGGCAAGGCCAGCATCAGAATGTAGGGACGATTTATGATCTCATTTGACTTGCTCAGGTTGACGCAGCCAGTAACATTGAAACCCACTTCATAACCTTTAACCTCATGCTTTTGGGTGTTGGCTCATAGACCTAACAAGCTAGAGTGCTGGAGTGACCAACCATCCCAGTTTCCCAAGACTTGAATCGAGGTCTGTCCCTTATTGCAAAGCCCTAATTCTGTGTCCCAGTGCTTCTCATACTTTAACGCAGAACCACTTGGTTAAAAGGTAGAGTCTAGTTCAGTAGGTCCAGGGCGGGACCCGAGATTTTACATTTCTAACAAGCTCTAGGTGATGCCCATGCTGTGGGCCAGGACCACACTTTGAGTAGCAAAGCTCTAAGCATTGCTTCCATGGCAGCCCCGAAGCTCAGCCATCCTTGCAGAGAGCCCCCAAATGGGCTCCCCACTATGTAGGGTCTGATACAGTCATCAGCCCAGAGAGCCCACCAGAACCATGGGGTGGTGGTCCTGCCAGTTCATCAGTGGAGACTCCAGGTGACTTCTGGTGCAGCCCACTCTCCTCTCCACTGACCCCTCTGACCTCAGACAAGCCCTCTCCATTTCCCCTTGGAGCCTCACCAAGCTGCCCTATTTCCCTGACATTTTTGAGGGACCTCAATGCCAAGTTTATGTCCCTTAAGGCTCAAATACAATCCTGGAAAAACCATCGAACGGCTCCTCTGCATGGGCACTTACAGATCTGCAGTTAATCCCCTTAAGACCTGGGTGAACAGAGCTGACTGCAGACAAAACTCATATAGTTTGTCTTAGGGACCTTATATTTGAGGAGCTGACCTAAGTACTATGGTTAGGGATGCTTCTGCCTGCCATCAAATATATGTCTGGTTATATTGTTACATTTTGGGGTGCTCTGCCATTCCAGTACCATTGTTTGGGGCTCATAGAATAGGAACCATCTAGGTTAAACTTCAAAAGATTGAAGATAATTATTAGCACTGAAATACTTGGTAATGGGACATTGGATCTGTCCAATCAGGATCTGCCTGACATTGTCCCTCTGATCTGGCTCTGCCTGAGTATTCATCAACAAAACGTGTCATATCTCAAAATTATGCAGTGTCTCATATAAAGTGTGGGCCTGGAAAGTGACTTGGGCTTGAGTTCAGACTCTGCCACTTACAAGCTGAGAAGCCTTGCATCAAGTGCTTTCTGAGCCTCAGTTTTCCCATCTATGAAATGGGTTTGTTAATACCTGTCCCACAACATTGTGGTGGGAATGGACGAAGATCATATGTGTAAGATGCCTGACACATAGGAAATAGAAAATACGGCCATCACTACTATCAATTATTGTTATTCTGCCCTCAAGAAACTGAGCCCAGAAAATAAGTATTTGGTCTTGATGGGGTGGAAAGGGCAGGTGGGAGCCACTAGAGTTGCCAGCACAGCCTAGGAGAGCTTGGTCGAGGACAGACACAGCAGTGCTCCCGTTTCTCTTCTGTCCTGCTCTCCTGCATATCTGTTAAGAAACTGTGTTGACTTGTCTCTGCAGGCACAGGGAGGATTTGGATGGATGATGTCGCCTGCAAGGGCACAGAGGATGCCATCTTCCGCTGCAACTTCTCCAAGTGGGGGGTGACAAACTGTGGACATGCTGAGGATGCCGGGGTGACATGCATCAGACCCTGAAAGTGGACACAGCCAAGGTCCGGGCCCTGCTGCCCAGCCCCCTTCCTGCATTCCTGGGGGGGTTCACTGGGGTTCCCCTGACCACACCTCTGCCCTGCCCAGTCCAGCATCCCCCTGCCCTTCACCCCTATCCCAGGACCGCAGTGGCCTGTCCTCATTCTCCTCTTGGACACCTGCTCCAAACTGTAACTCTGGGGTCCACTGCCTGTCTGTCCCTTCCTCCAGAGCTCCAGAATGCGGAGTCCTGGTCCATTGGATCACCATTTTGCCGAGCTTTCTAAGCACCATCATCAGGCCTTGATATCCATGTTCCCTTTGGTCTGTTAGTCACAGGTGACTGCTGAGACTATGTTAGAGACGAATGCCGCAGTGGAGATGGAGGGAGGTATAACAGATCATTCACTCTTCAGATGATTCCCAAACCTCGGTTCAGCCAAGAGTTTTGACATCTTCCTTCCCAGCAAGAGACAATTCTGGATGATTCATTTTCCCCTCTCCGCACTGCCGCCACATCCTTTTGTTAGTTTGGGGAAGGGACAGCCATAGGAGTGAGAGGAAAATGCAAGTCACCTGCAGGAATTAACTTGATTTCGGAGAAGGGGAGTGAAACTAGCATGTGTTGAGTGACCACCCTGTGTACTACATAGTACCTTGGGTGGAGAATTTATTTATCCACTTTGCAGCATTTCTGCAAGGCATGTCAGCTTAGGTAAGTAAGATCTTACCTGCATTCATCTGGCCCGTAAGTCCTAAAATCGAGAATGACTACGACCATTGTTTCCGCCTGAACCTCTGGGTGTCTTTGCTAGGCTTGAGCAAGAAGCTCGGGTGTGAGACCTGTGTGCCTAGAAGGTTACATACTCCTAAGCCTGTGAAGTATGGGTGCAAGATCAGACATGACTGGCTCCTAGGCCAACCATCCACATAGAAGGAAGGATGGTTTGGAGGGTGACATGGGGCTATCAGTGTTAAACAGAGACCAACACTCAGTCATCGGGCAGCCAGGGTTAAAGCCAAGTCTCCTGTGTCTCAGAGCTCTTAGGAGGTAATGATATTGAACCTTTCAGGCCTCTTTGGGTGTGATCCTGTGGTCAGGAGAACATGTGTCCTGATGGGTCCTATATGAGTAGAAGGAAATGAGGACTCCTTATAATCTCCAGGGGAAGAAGGGGCCCTGGGCTTCTGCAAATCCTCAATCTGTACCCCTCTCCTGGTGACGGGGGTATCATATTCTGCTTTTGACAAAAGAGGGAGGTCAAACCGAGCCATCGATGTGTTCTAGGACTAGGAGAGCTACATGGTAGCAAGGGAGCACAGACCCACCGCACTTGGGGAAGCCGCAGACTCACAGTCAGGCCTCGGACACACAGCCACCTGTTAGATCCGGTGAGCATCAGCCTGCCTGGGGAAGGTGGCACCTGGGACCCTCCAGGTGCGGGCCCAACAAAGCTCCTGGCTGACAACTGAACTAATATGTGCTGTTGGCTGCTCTTTGCTTACCATGTGCTTCTGATTCATCAATGTCCTAATGATCAGAGACTCTCCTTCTGACCAATTGCTATGTTTACATAACTCGCATGTACTCATGCATTTTTTCCAGAGCCAATATATGTATGCATATATAAACATGGCACTGTTTACGTCATAGCTCAGCACATTGCAAAGTTTGTATTAAAAAAACACTACAGGTGGAAAGATGTCACATTGAATGAAGTAGATTCCCAGTTATCCCTCCGTAGAAGACATTCTTAGTTGGTCTTTTCATTTGGGAAAACACAAGTCTTGTTTTACATCAAATAAAAATGATGGTGATAAGTGTTTGAACCTTAAAATAAAAGTCTACTAGTTTACATACCTACTTAAGAGGACATGGAAATCCCCATGGACCTGTATTTCAGGGACTAAAGGAAATTAGGCCTGGCCTAAAATACATCAGACCTTTTGTAAGAAAAAATTTCAATAAAGCTAAGAACATGTCACTGACAAGCTTCGTATCACCTTTTCTTTTTCTCTCATGAAAACCCAGTGAGATGGTGGGGTCATTTCTCAGTGGGACTGTGGTGGAATGGACATCTTATAAGAAGGTGCCTTATTACTTCTGGAGGACAGTAAACAACACAGACCAAGGACATGGTGGAGCATGATGTCTGAAGCCTTGTTTGATCACCTAAGGAAAGGGTCCCAAGCAACAGAACAGTAATCAAGGCCCGGCCTATAAGACAATTGCTTTTGTAGTCAGTAAAGGAAAAAACACTTGTCTCTTTCCTCACATCTCCAGAGTTTTTACCTAGGGATGTGCTTCCACCTGGAGATCTTTCACATGTAAGAAGACCATCCAGATTTAGGTACAAGGTCTGTGAAGTCGCTGAGCCTACTCACCTGATGAGAGGCAGGACCTCCCAGGCTAGGACCTGAGCAGTGCATGGGGATGGCCCAGGCCACTGCATAGCCCTGGCCACATGCTCATAACTGGCATCTCTGGGAATATCTATCTAATGGCCCCAAGCTTGCTATGGGCCATGATATTTGGTAAAGGGAGTCAACAGAGAAAAGCTGACTTCTGGAAATCCACAGAGGAGGCGTCCTGGTTTTCTCCTCTAAAAACCAGGCGATACCCACCCCCAAGTCACTGTGTTTCCTATTCTGTAAACAGCCCCCATGGGAAAGGGCAGCAGCCTGTCTTGTCCTGCCCTCTCTGCCGTCTACAAGGCACTACTGATGCCCTCATCTCAAACGCCTGTGAGGGACAACCTTCGGGGCCTATGTATGCTGTGGTTAAACCATCCACTCTAGGGGGCTTGATTCACGGGAAGATGTTAGAACTTTCCCCACCATCGGCACCCCTTGGTTTCTTCAGCCACATTGTTTTATGACAGTTATTCTCACATTTCTGTAAAATGTCCCATGAGCGAATCACTTGTCTTTATCTTTTTAAACCTGCTCTCCCTTCAACCCTTCACAGAA